AGATATAAAAAAAATTGTATAGATATTATAACGGAGGTGGAGAGTGATGAGAAAAGTAACGGAGCAATTAACTCCTTTCAATTTTTTGAAATAAAATTTAAACGCACTTTGATAAGAAAACGCGTAAAACTCGTTTATTGAGAGATTTTTTATTGAAGTCTTTTGCATTTTTATCACTCAACAGCCTGGTAAAGTTAGTATATTTCATTTGGATTCCTATTCTTATTTTATTTAGAATAAAAACCACAAATACGATTTGATTTAAAATATAGCAATTTTCAACTGATACAGCTTTGTCAAAGTATCATACTTTAATGGGTAAAAAAGCTGTTTCGTCGAAAACAAAATGGCAGGTCATTGGAATGCATAAAATGAAAATAAGCAATAGAGAATTTGGCAGACGCCTAAATATTTCTGAATTCAGCGTTCGTTCAACAACAAAAAATTATTTATCAAATGGTAGTGTCAATGATAAACCTTGTAATGGGCGTCCGAAAAAACTGACAGCACGCGATGAAAACATGCTTTACATGCTAAGCAGACGTAAACCAAAAGCGGGAGTATCAACTTTAAGTGCAGAAATCAATAGTTCGCTGTTAGACAAAGCAGTTAGTCGAATGGCTATAAGTAAGTTATTACGCAAGAAAGAATTAAATTCGTTTCATTGTGTAAGAAAGCGATTGTTGACGTTAACCGATCGCCAAAGACGAAAAAAATGGTGCAAAGAGCGTTTAAATTATTCAGTACAACAATAGTAAATGATTATCTTTAGTGATGAATCAAATTTCGAAATTATTAACAGAAAAAACAAGAGATTTGTTCGTCGCAAAAATACAGAAAAAGATTTGAAGCAACACCTATTTAGCTGTATTCAAAAAAGCGGTGGTTCCGTCAGCATATGGGGATGTATATCAGGCTCAGACGTTGGCTGTCATAAAATGTACGAAGGAAGATTAAACCAGTATGAGTATCGTGACATTTTGGAAAACGCGCTTATCCCTAGTCGCGATTTGTTCCATGCTGATCAAAAATGGTTATTTCAACAAGACAATGCTCCATGCCATACAGCGCATTCAATCACTGATTATTTCCTTAAAAGTAATATTCAACTTATGCCTTGGCCAGCACGATCACCAGACTTAAACCCAATTGAAAATTTATAGAGCTGGATGGATTATCAACTAACAAAAAAGCAAATAACTAGTCACGAAATGCTCAAACAAGAAATGACCAAACTGTGGCTTGAAATACCAATCAAGATGATTGAAAACTTAATCGAATCAATGCCTAGGCGAATACAAGCATGTATTAAAAACAACGGGGGTCATATTCCGTATTAATATATTTCGATTAAAAGGAGTTGTATGTGCGTTTAAACTTTATTGCACTTTCTTCTAAGTAATCTTTTGATTACTTGAGTTTGTTGTTTAATTTCAGAAAAGATTTTGTGTTTTTCTTATTCAAAGTTGTGTTTTTTTCTTAATTAATAATCGACTAAAAATATTAAAAAAAAAAAAAAACCTGGACCCTGCCTCATGTTTTCTCTTTGTATCACTTTAAACATACCTTAACTTTAAAAAAAACAAGTGCGTTTAAACTTTCTGTACAAGGTGTGTATATATATATATATATATATATATATATATATATATATATATATATATATATATATATATATATATATATATATATATATATATATATATATATATATATATATATATATATATATATATATATATATATATATATATGTATATATATATATATATATATATATATATATATAATTTTATTATATATTTTTGCAGTTCATATAATGGGAAAATATAATTACAAAGAAACGTTTACATAAAAAAAGTGGATTTATAAAAAACAGGCAAGGGCTTAAAAGAAATACGGAAAGTCACAACAATCTTTTTATAGACTCTATGTGGGCTCTACAAGTTAAAAATAAAATAAAATTGCTAAAAAATCTATGTACAGTTCCAATATCATAAAAAGAAAAAAGCTTTCATAAATATAAAAAAAGAAAAAAGCTTTCATAAATATAATAAAAAGAAAAAAGCTTTCATAAATATAATAAAAGGAAAAAAGCTTTCATAAATATAATAAAAAGAAAAAAGCTTTCATTAATATAATAAAAAGAAAAAAGCTTTCATTAATTTAATAAAAAGAAAAAAGCTTTCTCAAATATTTCTATCAAGAAATTAAAGAGTATCAATATAATTTTAATCATTCAAAATGACAAATTCTTTTAAAAATAAAAAATAATAAGAATAATGTAATTTGATGTTCATTAAAAAAATTAAACAATTAAGGGAATGTGGGGCAACATGGCGAATGGGGCAAGATGGGTTTTCACATAACAACTCAACAAAAAAACTTGAAGTTGAGTAAAAAATGTATTTGCATCTTTTATTTTAAAACACCAATTGGTTTTTTAAAGTATTAACGCAATTTTATAGGCATAAGTTTACTTTTTGCGCTTAAAAAAAAATTCCTCATTTCTGGTTTCTTATAATGTCCTTCAGGTTTAACTTCTTTAAAAGGCAGAAATCGCATAAGTCATGTTCCCGGGTCACGTGACCAGATGACAAATTTGTGAACTTTTTATTTTAATATTTATTTCAAATCGTTCTATTTGCTAACTGAAAATTCATGCAGGCAATTAGTCATTTTAATAACATAAAGTATTATTGAAAGTATTATTGCTTCACGACAGATAGTTTTGCAATAACTCAGGGCTTTCAATACGTTCGCCATGTTGCCCCGCTTTCCCTTATTTATATAGTTTTTTTTCTTTTTTTAAATTTAATTTTTTATTAGCAACTTAAAGGAGTTTAACAATTTTATTGTATTTAAACTCTGCTTTTTGAAAAGTGTACACTAATTTTGGTCCACGGTATGCTATTTCATATTCAGAATACTTGCTACTAACTCTTGGCAATTTATATGTATTCCATTGGTTTATTTTAAAAGCATGTTTGTTTTTCGTAAATTTATGAATAAAGTTTTTTGATCAAGCTGCTATTATATTTATACATTAGATGTTAAATATATATATATATATATATATATATATATATATATATATATATATATATATATATTCATTATTTGCATGTTTTTCATTAATGGTTCTGCTTTTTCATATTTATTCTTTTTATATATAAGATTTTAAGTTTTGTTGGTCCATGAAATATTGGAATAGTAACTTAAATAATGTATTAGACCAAAATATACTAGTTTCAGAAAATAAATATCCATATAATAATATACTCAGTTTATAATAATATACTCAGTAGGATAATTTAGTTTCAAAATTTTAAATAGCATATGCCTAATTTTTAAATTTAAGTCCTTTGATCATTTAAGTTTGTAAAACTTTAGCTTTTACAAACATGTATGGTCATACTTTTGTTTGTCTTGAAGTTTTTTTTCATTAGTTAATTAAATTAATTATATTTATTTCGTAAAACACGCATTATTATCAAGCTTTTAATATACATAAAATAAAAATGAAACTTTATTAAAAGATTTCTTGTAAATCGAAATAGCTTTTGTTAAACTTTTATTTTTTTACGATATTCATTTTTAGAAAATTTTTGGGTAAAATATCGGGAATATATATTTCCTACTAATTTGCTTTTAGCTGAGTTGTTTCTATTTTTTTCTAATTTTTTTATTTTTCTATGAGTGATGAGTGAAAAGCTTAAAAACAAATATATTTTACTAAACTAAAAGTTGAAAAAGTATTCGGAAAAAGATAATCCCTGGATATTTTTATAATTCAAGAATCATTATTTGTAAACAAATATCACGTGGCCTTAAAAACGTCTCGGTTGAACGAGGTGTTTTTTTCTACATGAATACAAGCTGAAATTTATCCTGCCTATCTGAGTACGTCGGTTAAACGAGATGTTTTTTTTCCCTTACGATCACCTCTTATCATATGGAAAAAAAAATCTGATATAATTGATCTCACTTTCGCAGACAAAAGTTTTTAGCCTATATTTAAGAAGACTGAATATACCCAGTATATAAATCCAAAATATATTGAACTGCTTTAGGTTCACGTTTTAATTTAAAAATTTATTATTTTAAACTATAAGGCTAAGATGAAAAATTTGTAAAAGTTTTTAACAAAAATGAGTTTTGCTTAAAAAAGTACGAAGCAACAAAACGTGACTGTATATTGCACGATCGCAACTGTTACATTAATTTATAAAATAAAACAAAAAGATAACGACAATCAAATCAATCAAAAAAAGATATTGACAATAAGACAATGCAGTCAATGATTTAGATGAATTTTTAAAAATTTATTTTCATGCATAAAATCAGTTAAATAACTCAGAAAAAAAAAATTTCTTTTCAATAAAGGAAAACAATGCATTTATGAAATTTTTTAAAAAACAAGCTATAGTTAACAAAAACATTAAATTTTTTTCAACAGATATAAATTTTTTAACTAAAAAATCATTTAGCAGTAACAATAGAAAAAACCACTGTTAACTACTTTTTTGCAAAAATTATTAAAAATTATAAATCTTTTGAAAACGTTTTTAAGCAAAATCTATAATATTTTGTAAAAATAATCACTTTAAAAAGAGTATTTAATTCCCAGGCTTATTTTAATTTAATTCCCAGGCTTTAATTCCAATTTGATCTAGTTTAAAGAATATTTATAATTATTTAATGGAGATGAAATGTTTGAGACGATAGCAAACATTTAAGAGATCAAATATTAGGGGCAAATATTTATGGAGCCTTTATTTATCGTCTCAAAAATATTTCATAACATTAATTATCTGAGACGATAGCAAACATTTAGGAGTGAGATCAAATATCTGAGATATTAGCAAACACTTGTGAAATAAAATCAAATATCTATAAAACGACAGTCTGCTATCATAAGATCAAATATCTATTAAACGACAGTCTCTCATTCATAAGCAAATATGAAAAATTTACGTGTCTTGAAAAATAAAGAAAAATTTAAAATGTGTTTTTTTTTTACCACAAAAATGATATTAATTGACCTTGACATATTGATACAATATTTGTCTGCCATGCAACACTATCTTGCGCAACTCAATACATGAGTGATTGTGGCATCCTCTACAAGACTGTTTTTCGGGTACAAGTATCTTGCGCACATAAATACTCCAGTATTGAACAATAGTTATTAATATTGAAAACTTCTATGCGTTTTAATTTCATCAAGGATTTGTTGTAGTTCCTCTTCGACAAACCGACCTTCGAGGCTAAATAAATAAAAATAAAAAAAAGATTAGGCTGATAACCAAACTTACCATACTTATCAACTAGGTTGTGTAAGACCAGTAAAACAAAAATATAATAATGAACAACAAAAAGCAATTTTTTTTTAAAACCTGTTTTTCATTTTCAAGCTTACGCCAGAACAATTTTTGTAAGAATCAGACAGAACTCAATAGCGACTCTCTTAAAAGTTTTTATTTTTTTTAGTATGTTGCTGCTATTCATAATCAATATTTTTCAAATAAAATTTTTTAAAAGAATTGATTGGTTTTCTAGATATTAGACTTTTTGAGCTTCTAAACTTAAAAATAGATAAAAATATAAATTATTTCCAATGGATATTTCACTTGATCATTGTTTATTGGGTAATTTAAAAACTAAAAACACCATGCTTCAAAAATACACAATCTTTTTTTTGTCATTTTTGACCTTTAGTTTTACCTAAAGCTGCCATAAGTATACCATAATTATTTTTTTAAACCCTTGACCTAAAAAAAAATAACACATATATGGTAAACGGATAGATTGTCTAATGCTTCAAAAGTTCCTAAAAATGTTTTTGTGCATTTTAATCTTCATTTTTATCAGTCTATGGTAGCCTATAATTTCTTTTATTTATGTGACACAATGATCGCAAATGAACGGGTGTAGTTCATGGGTGTAAGAGGTAAAAAAGTGTTGGTGCCATAATAACCAATGATTTATAATTTCTTTTAAATTATAAATTTTTACTTAGTAAAGTATAAAATGTAAAAAAAAAAAAAAAAAAAAAAATATCTATAGGAAAGAATAGGATTAGGAACTGTTCATAAATTATGCTGCTGAAGGAGGGTTTTGCAACACTTTGTAACAAGAGAGGGAAGGATTTAATAACCTCTAAAAGCATGATGCAGTAAGCAATTTTTTGATCGACTGTTGACAAATGTGCTTCTTATGCAACTTCTTAAATCGGGCTGGCATGGAATCTTTTATTCCCTCTTGACAATACCAAGTCAAACCTTGCCCTTCTCCGTGATTTTCCTTGTACTGTTGCAATTTCCTAACCAATACTTCCATATCTATCGCCAAAACAATTAACCAGAAAACAAACGTCTGTTTACTAAGTTTTAGTTACACAGAAATAAAATTAGCAATTTGTTAAGATATTCTAAAAAATTATACTATGTATCTTTTTTTAATAACAACATCAATAATGTAAAGAATACTCGGAAGGGAATAAAGAAAATCATTAATATCAAACCTTCTGCTAATACTATGTTTGTTTGTCTCAAAATCAATGATAATATCATCTCAGATCATACCAGTGTTGGTCATATATTTAATAACTATTTTGATACTATTCAAGACAAACTATATTAAATTAATTTCCCTTCTAAATGTACTTTAAGCAGCTTTCTTAAATTACTACTTCTTTATTCCTTGATCTCTTGACTGAAGATGTGTCAATTGAATGTGTCGAATCTCATAAAAAGTACTTCTAAAATTACTAAATGCCTTGGTCCCGATAATCTACCAACATTTCTTCTAAACCATGTATCTCACATGATCTCCATCTTCTGGTCAGGTCAGGTTTATCCTGCTACTGGTAACATTTAGCCCAGTACAATCTGCCTCATGTCCTGCTGCCTTGTAGGATATGCCTTTTTAGGCAAAGGCTAGGGATGCAAATAAAACACCCCCTGCTTGGGGCTCTTGGTTGAGTAAAGGCTAGAGATGGTGTCTCAATAAAAATACTCATCTTGGGCAGATGTTAAATGCATCCGGCTGCTGTCTTGTAGAACGCCTCCTAGGCAAAGACTTAAGGGGAAAACAGATTCTATCTGTTGACCAGCCTCACACCCCTTCTTCATCTATTAGGCTGGCGCAGATGTATTTTTAATACATTGCTTCCAGTTTGGGATGTTGAACGCTGGATCTTCTTGACTAAATGCGTGGAATTTGTTTGTGTCTCTGTTTTTATGACTAAGCAACTCATTCTATTATCTCCAAATGAGTGTACAGCTCTAAAACTCAGTTTTATGGTTCTGAGGCCGGCTGGTAGTCAGGTTTCCCGAACTCTGTGGTAGCTCTCAGAGAGGCTGATTTCATCAACAGCTGAAAAATATCAGAGTACTAACAGTTGTTGCGCATGGATGGTGTTCCTGTTTGTACTTTTGGTGTGCATTGCAAAGGCCACATTGGAGCCCTTTGTTACGGCTTAGGGTTTATTAGTGGAAATGAGGCAATTGCTTGAGCTATAAAACAGTGTACTGAGTACTTTCTATGTTTCGAGTCAAGTTCTTTAACAAATTTAAAAATGAATAAAGTACCAGAAACTATAAAACACAAAACACCACTGTCATTACCAAGTTCGCTAAACCTATCAATCACTAATATTCGTGGTCTTCGAAGTAACTTTTCTTCTGTTGAGTCTTATCTCTTGCAAAGTTTACCAGACCTACTTGCTCTTTGTAAGACAAATTTTAGTTCAGCTCTCTCATCTTGTGATCTTGGTGTTGATGGTTATCTTCCTTTAATTCGTAAAGACTTCAATAGTCACATGCTTGGCCTGGGCATTTACATTCGTAATTCACCCATTTGTCGGGAAACTAGGTTTGGATCCACAGACTACTCTTTTATGTGCTTTCGTTTAGCACCACTTCACTCTATCACTTTTCTCTTTGTTATATATTGCTCTCCCTCATCTCAAGACTGCACTTTTCTTGATGTTATTTCTGATTATATTGACCAAGCCCTCATTCTTTATCCATCAGCCAATATTGTTGCTGTCGGTGACTTTAATGTTCATCACATTGAATGGCTTGGCTCTAGTGTCAGTGACTCTGCAGGCATTAAGGCCCACAACTTTTGTCTTTCTCAATCCCTAACTCAAATAGTCAACTTTCCAACTCGCTTTCCAGACAACCCGAATCATTTACCTTCTATAATTGACTTATGTCTTGTTACTGATCTTAGTCAGTGCTCAGTTTCTTCACACCCACCCTTAGGTGCTTCTGATCATGGTTTGGTCTCTCTAAAACTATTATCTCATTCTTCTTTATCATCAAAATCCCCCTATCATTGTACATCTTACAACTACCTTAAAGCTGATTGGGACTCTTTCCGTGATTTTCTTCGTGAATTCCTGGGTAGAAATCTTTCGTCTTCCTGTTGACAAATGTGCTTCTTACATAACTTCGTGGATTCAGGCTGGCATGGAATCCTTTATTCTCTCTCGACAATTCCAGGTCAAGCCTCACTCTTCTCCATGGTTTTCCTCACATTGTGCTGCTGCAATTGCCAATCGAAACCATTACTTCCATATCTATCAGCAAAACAATTCTCCAGAAAACAGACGTCTGTTTATTACTACTAGGAACCATTGTAAAAAGGTTTTGTCTAACGCCAAAGCCCGCTATTCTCAGATCATGAAATCTCGTATTTCATCACAAAAATTAGGCTCTCGTGACTTCTGGAGAATTTTCAATAGTATCAATAATAAGGGCAAGTCTGTAGTTCCACCTCTTTTGTATGGTTCAGACTTTGTCACCTCACCTAAAGACAAAGCTGAATTGTTTGCCAAGAACTTTTCATCAATATCATTTCTTGATGCCACTAGTTGCGTTCTACCTGATATAGCCGTCAAACAGGTTTATCTCAACATTCGTATCACTCCAGCTTCTGTATCTAATTTCCTGCTTAGACTCTTCTACAGCTTGCGGCCCGGACAACATACCTGTTATAGTCTTGCAGAAGTGTTCTCCGGAGCTGTCGTCTATCCTTTCAAAACTATTTAACAAGTGCTTATCAGACTCTTGTTTTTCAGCCTGCTGGAAAGCAGAATCTGTTATCCCTATTTTTAAAAATTCTAGAGAGCAATCCAATTTGTCTAACTACCGTCCCAAAAGTCTTCTTCCTATCATAAGCAAGGTTTTTGAATCTTTAATTTACAAACACTTAATCTCTCATCTCGAATCTCATAACCTACTTTCTGATCATCAATATGGATTTCGATCTTCTCACTCTACGGCTGATTTGCTATTAGTAATAACCAATAGGTTTTATCGCGCATTAGATTAAGGTGGAGAGGTTAAGGCCATCGCTCTTGACATTTCTTAAGCGTTTGATAAAGTTTGGCATGCTGTTTCTTAAGCGTTTGATAAAGTTTGGCATCTTCTCCATAGGCTTTCTTCTTACAGTGTATCTGAAAACATCTTTAAGATTATTGAATCCTTCCTTTACAATTGTAGTATAAAAGTTGTCCTTGATGGACAGCACTCTTCTTCTTATTATGTAACCTCAGGGGTTCCCCAAGGTTCAATTCTTGGCCCTATACTCTTTTCAATTTACATTAACGACCTTCCAGATATTCTCACATCTAAGGTGGCATTGTTCGCTGATGAAACTACCATTTATTCTTGTCACGATAAGAAGCCAACTCCCTCTGATTGCTTGCAGGGGGCATCAGAGCTTGAAAAGGATCTCACTTTTGCTACAGCATGGGGCTTACAGTGGCTGGTGAACTTTAATTCAGATAAAACTTAATTTTTTTTGGCCAATCATTATCGCAATAGTTTAGACCTTCCTATATTTATGAACGTTAATGTACTTGATGAGTCTCCTACCCTTATCTTCTAGGATTAACTCTTACTTGTGATCTTTCTTGGAAACCTTATATCAAGTCCGTTGCAAAACTAGCATCTGCTAAAGTTGCTTCTCTTTATCGAGCTTGTCACTTTCTTACTCTGGATTCTATTCTCTATCTCTATAAATCTCAAATCCGGCCTTGTATGGAATACTGTTGCCATATCTGGGGTGGATCTTCTAATGACGCCCTTTCTCTTTTAGACAAGGTGCAAAAACGCATTCTAAACATAGTTGGACCTGCTCCTGCAGCCAATCTTCAACCTCTGTCACATCGTCGTAATGTTTCTTCTCTTTCTCTTTTCTACAAATACTATAATGGGCACTGCTCAAAAGAGCTAGCGTCTCTTGTGCCATCTAC